TAATTGATTTAAACTGGAAGAGGGTAGATTTAGACTAGATATTAGACAGGAATTCTTTGCTGTGAGGGTGGTGAGGCAGTGGCCCAGGTTGCCCAGAGCAGCTGTGGATGCCCCATCCCTGGAGGGGTTCAAGGCCAGGCTGGATGAGGCTTTGAGCAACCTGGGCTAGTGGGAGGTGTCCCTGTCCATGGCAGGGGGGGTGGAACTAGATGATCTTTAAGGTCCTTTCCAACCCAAGCCATTCTGTGATTCTGTAAGTGTAAAAGGACTTCATGGTATTATTAAGTTAGTTAAATACTGCTTTTATTCTCAAGCGCAAACTTTTTTTACATACAGATAATCATAGTCTATCCCTTGGAAAAAAAATCTCAGTTGCATGAATAATTCAAATATCAGTCATCAAGGAATGGGATATAGGGAGTACCTTCTCTTTTGCACTGCAAAAATAAAATGTCAGTAGTTCTAAAACACTTCTAATGGATAGTGATGGTTCATAAAATATTGGTAAATGCAGTTTTGAGATTTGCCTAATGGTTTCAGTGAGCCTGCTACTTAGAACAACTTTTTAGTTTGGATTGTGTGAAAAAATAATTCATAGGATAGGAAGTATTTTAACAAGATGTTCCACTGTGTTTTTGCAAGTTCTTGTATATATATGATGTTTTAATATTAAATAATGGAACATAATTATTATATGGCAATGCGTTGTATTGAGACCAGAATTTGTTTCTTTGGCTACTGTATATACACACACATAAAAGTTGGCATCATTTGTAATGCCTTCATATATCTCTGTATATAGACGTATGTGTTTAGTTCTGTTGTGTTGCAAATATAAAAATATGTGGCGTTATGAGGAAAATTGGAATGCAAACCTAAGGACAAACAAGCTTACAAGCTTTTATATAACAAATTTCACTGAATTTTTTTACTTTTGCCCATATTATATGCAGAAGCTGAAACCTGGTTTACTGAAAAGAGCAAGTAAACTTTAAGGAGGTGATTAATCTTCTGCATAAAAACTGTAGTCCATTTAGATTTTTTTCAGAGTTTTTTGAAGTTTGAATTTTCTCCTCCAGTGCACTTTAATCTCATTTCTAATCCTGTAGACCCCTTGATCAATTCATCAATTCCTTAATGGCTTGCGTTTGTCACAAGTACCTTGTTATTTTTGGTTTTATTTCTGATAAAAAGCCATATCTAATGCATGAAAATGTGAATAGGTGTTAAGAAATCCCAATGAGTTCTTTGACACTGCGGAGACTATTTCTCATTTCAACAGAGGAAAATGTTTTCCAGAAAGAGCCATGTAATGCTTTCCTTTGATTTCTTTCTTCTCTTAAACACTGTTAATGTGTTTTGCTGTCATGGCCTCTTAGTAGCTACGATTAGTTTGCGCTGGGATTTTTCTCAGCTTAACTCAGTTCTGATGTGTGAGAAGCTGTATGACAGGTAATGTGATGTGGGAAGGAAATGACACATACAAATTAGGAATAAAGTATTAGCATTGTATCTTACAGCTACAACTGAAGTGAGGGGAGGTAAGGAAAGAGGAGGAACTGAAAGCATGAGGCCAGTGGTGAGCACAAATTATCGGTAGTCCTCAACCCAGTAGCAGAAAATTGCTCATCTGTGGTCTCTTCTGCTTTGATTTGTTTGAGGAAATGTCTCTTTGCCCCAGATCTTTGCACTTCAGAAGTTTTATTTTCTGTTTCTGGTTCCTTAGGTCATTGAATATTAATAGCACAGAATAGCGCCGTTTTTCCCAAAGATATTTTTGTTTTTAAAACTTTTTGAGTATTTTATAGATCAGACTTCTAAAGCTACCAGTTCCCAGTAGGCTAAAAAACACAAAGAAGGAGGCATGTGTCTATGTAAGAAAGACACCTCTATCTGGAATTTATACCTGTAAGTCTTGTGTAGTCGCATCTCCTACCAAGAAAGTATGTTTATGTTTAATTTTGCAGGATTGTCACTTGAAACTCCCTCTATACTTCAACCATAACTTGTGAAATGAATTATGAAAACCACTGCTTCTGGTAGCTCAATCCTGATTGATCTGATCAGTCCTTTAAAAAAAAAGTCTGTTCATTACCAATGTGTGTTCTGAAATTGATGGTGAGCTTGGCAGCCTCTTTGTGATGGATGGTTCATTGAAATAGTCATGGTGGATATTTTTAGAAAAATACCAGTTGCACAATATGGGACTAGAAAAATTAGAGTAGGAACATTTTACGTTCCTGTGCACTGGTTTTCTTAAAAATTTGACTTGTACAACCTGAAGCAACATCTCCTCCCTTTTCCCTTTCCTCATAAGTTTGTGTTTCATACAAATCATATTTTCTATCTAGCTATTGCTGACTGGCTCCTGGCTTCAACACGAGGCTGATCACCGTGCCAGGAAATATTCCTAGGTTTTCAGTTCAGTAGTAGCTGAGTAGCATAATTATTTTAGGAGATTAACATTCATACGGAGACTGATGGAGCTGATCCAGTCTACATGTCTACTGTAGAGGACCTGCCAGACGTACACGATAGCCGCACCAGACTCCTGCAGTCTCTTAGCAACTGTCATCTACTGATGGCCTTGCCTGATGGGGAATTAAGACATTGTTCTGTCGCAGCATCCCTCCAGACAGCGCTCTGGGACTTACCAGGACAGGAAAAAAATGAACAGAGGTCTTCTTTTCTTTTCAGGAGTTACTTCTGGGCTTGTTTCTTCTTTCCACTCTGAAACACCTCTTGTTGCTTCTTTATTTTCATGATTTCTGGTTGAATTGTTCCTTGTCTGTTTGTTGGGTTTTGGGGCTTGTTTTTTTTTGTTTGTTTTTTGGCCCTTTGGTTGAGCACCAACCTTTGGTTGTCTATCATGGATATTCCTGGAACTTGAATCGTCTTTACAAGTTTGAATTGCACATAGATGGAGAGAAACAAGAGGTGCTTTGGCCAGCTAATTTTATTTTTAATTCACAGATAGTTGTTTCTGGCATTAGAAAGATTCCCCTAACTAAGAGAGAATTAGCGGAGCGTGTGTTTTCCAGTGAATGCAACTTGGGAGACTGGAACAAAACCTAGCTTTAGATGGCACTCAGGGGGAATGCGCTTGTTCAGTGATGCTGGATGTTGGCATTCCCTGCTGGTTGTGCTGTGGAATATAGTTCTAAATTGTGTATTTATCTGTTCATCCTGCCTGGGACATTTCCAGAGTCACACAGTGACTTTGTATACTGTTCTCACCCTTACCCACACTTGTATTCCGGAGTTCTACGCTCCAGTAATTCTTTTATTTTAATGTTTCGTGATACTCAAGCTGTTCCTAACTCTCACCTTGTAATATGGATGGCATAGGGCCTGGCTATAGCGAGAAGATGGTGTGAACTGGGGTATGGTAAGAAGTTAAAGCAGAACAGCTATTGCTCACTGGATGTCTTTGTTTTAACTTAATCTGCTCATATGTGGATGGAATACATGGCATGCAAGTGTCCCCATGAGAATACACTGTGTAATAGCTACTCCATGCTGCTTCTCTCTACGGACAATTCACTTGTTTGTCTCTCCAGCATAGCTGACAACAAACAATCCTGACATGTCACGCTTTTTACATTCCCATGATCCAATTTTCTTTCTTTATCATTCTAATAGATCCATAATTGGAGCCTGGACTGTCTGAGAGGACTCGTTATACTGCAGCCATTAAAATTCTCTTTCATTCTCTTGGCCACTTCTCTTTTTGAATCTTTTGATTCCCCATAAGTTAATGCTTCTCTTCCTCTACAGATCATTAAAAATACTATTTATTGAAGGGTTTTGTCTAGCTCTGGTCTTTTCTAGCCTTGATGGGGAAAATGTCACAAATTAACTCCTGAAGTGCCATTACCATTGCATGCTCCTGGCAGAAATTCACTTCTCAGATGTTTCATTTTCATTCCTTGCACGTTTCTTTGCATGATCAAAACTGACCAAAGACCCAGTGACACATATCAAGGGGGATATCCTTTTGCTCACTTGAGTTCAGTTGATAGCATAATTTTCTGTTAAGAATTGCTCTGTTGTTTGTATGCCAGAAATTCCTCATAGCTGTGTAATTGGGAGACACAAATTGTCACACTTGTGCTGATTTCGGTTTAGTTTAAAAGGGAGTCATAAAGACTTCATAATTTATTCCTGCATTTTTGTCAGCTCAACAACTTATAGGCCAAAACTGTAAAAGTTAAAGAAGCTGACAATAATTTGGTGTGTATCCCAAAGAAAGATATTCTGTAAGAGATGATAGGAGGAACGATGGACCACTCATACATTCTTTAATGAATTCATAGTTACTACTTCGTCTTCCTCACTAGTCCTCTTTTGAAGTTCTACTATGCTCATATTCAATTAACTGCTTCTGTTATCTAAAATCTTTTGATATTCATGTTAATTATTAACAATTTAAGAAATTTTTTTTCTAGAAAACATTGAATTTTGCTGAAATATTTCGTACTTTATTACCTTTAAGCTTGGCAACGTATGAAGATGGTTTAATTTTAATGCCTTTTTTGGATGCCTACTCAAGTTTTTAAGCAAATTTTTTAAAGAAAACAAATCCAAGCTTGTAATTTAATATGGGCTGTCTTTCATTTCTTAAAACGAGTTTAGAAAACGAAAGCCTTTTTTAGATTACACTGGCAGCAACGTATGTGAAAACCTCTTGGGTTGCTATTTCGTCACCAAATAGGTTATCACACTTTGAGAACTGTCTTAATTTGCTTAGGTCAAACATTCTTCATAATATTTTCTTAGCAGTTTACGTTCAAAAAGTTTAAGCGTTTAATTGCATATCTCACCAGGCTTAACTGATACAGTTGTATTGCCAAGTTTAAAACTAATCATAGACACATCATTGCTGTGTGCATAGTGAGAGAAATTCTCTTTTAGAATTTAAAGTAATATATTTCTTTGCTACCAGTAAGTGTAGCTGTTATATATTCTTGGGTAACTGACTGTTGTTGTTTGCATTATAGAGTCTCGTCCTTTGTCGCTTCCTGTGAAAACCATGCTGAACTCATCTGAAAGCTGCAGAAGTCCTGAAGAAAGAATGAAGGAATTTATTGGAATAGTGTGGAATGCAGTTAAGCGCCTTACACTTCAGGTAAGATGAAAAGGAGTGTAAGAAACCCATGTCTTTCCAAGCTTTATGATACTTTTTATGCATGCTAGTGCTTTTTATTAGAGGGTTTTTAAAGGAGCTCCCAAGTTTTATTGTCTTATTTCAGTAGTTTCAAAGTCTTAGAGAATGAAAAATAAAATGTAGATTTTTGGTAAATTAAGCAAGGAATGCTTTGGTTTTAGAATATTAGTTTTCGAAACACTTTTTTTTATATCTAAGGGGAAGATCCTTAAAAAAATTATATGAAGAAAAACTGCTTGTCACACTTTTCTGTATTATGTACATAGCTATACACCTTTTTATCTATAGTTAGATCTGCAGGATACCTTCCTTTCTAAAAGTATTTGAGGAAAATGTGTATGATAAATGCTTTTTTGGGGGTATATGATGCAATATGATGTTATACAGTGATGTCTCAGCTGCTTACTTGCCTACCTTCTCATAAAGGACAAGTAGATGACCACTTGGATTAAACGATTTCGTCCTAAACTGCTCTAGATTGTGATCTTTGGTCAGTAAAAAGCAGAGTTTTTATGTAGCAATATATATGCATGCTAATCACAAAAAAGGCCATGTTAGAAGTCCAGTGTTAAGATTACGTGATCAAACACTAGACAGCTTAGAAATTCTAGAATTAGGACTCTGTTCTGCTAAGTAGATATCAAGTGCCTGCTTTAGAAATTACCCTTACTTAGAATTATTATAGCCTGTGCCTTTTGAACAGTACATTCTATGAGATTGGTATTTTATTGTACACCAGCATATAATCACAAAACTATTTTTGTGTTTAGAATAGTACAATCCCAAAAAACAATAACCCCCTATTTCTGACAGAAGGTAATTGTTGAATGCCAGTTCCTTCTTCCTACCAAGAAATATATTTATTAGTATCCCGGAACCCATGCCTGCTTTACTCCTCTTTCATGCAGAAAGTACTTTGGGTTCAAAATATTAGAAAGCTTGAAAGTTTGTTTTGCCAGAACTTCAGACTTGTGACTTGATTGAAGTTGAGATGCTTTCTATTAACTCTATTTAGTGTTTAGCCAGCTCTTTCATCCTTGTTTCATGAGTATTTTGCTTGTTTTCCTTTCTTTCTTAATGTTGTCACCACTGGAGATTAAAATGACTAGATAAGGGGAGTCAAGAGAGATAATTTCTGAGCTGTTTGAAGGAAGCAGTGTATTTTTGTTATGTGTCTGGGTGGTACCTAGCACAATGAGACTCCTTATATAAATGAGGCTTACAGTTGGAGTCATAATAAAAATAATAATAATGAGGACAATGAAGAGACAGATACTTTATAAATGGGGAAAATTGAATCAGGACTAAGATGTTGTTCAGCTCGGAGAAGAGAAGGCTCCAGGGAGACCTTAGAGCAGCTTCCAGTGCTGAAAGGGGGCTACAGGAGAGATGGGGAGGGACCCTACATTTGGGAGTGGAGTGATAGGACGAGGGGTAATGGTTTTAAGCTGGAAGAGGGCAGGTTTAGACTAGATATTGGGCAGAAAGTCTTTACTGTGAGGGTGGTGAGACACTGGAACAGGTTGCCCAGGGAAGCTGTGGATGCCCCATCCCTGGAGGGGTTCAAGGCTAGGTTGGGTGTGTCTTGGAGCAACCTGATCCAGTGGGAGGTGTCCGTGCCCATGGCAGGGGGGTTGAAACTCTATGATCTCTAAGGTCTCTTCCAACCCAACCATTTTATGATTCTACGTTCTGCTCGTATGTTTTTCAAAGTATGCTTTGTTACATGAGCAACCAGCAAAATGAACTTGTCTTGAAGGATGGTTAAGATACTGATGAGCTAAAAGTGAAGTTTGCCTGCTACTAAAAAAAAAAAAAAAAAAAAAGATTGTGCTTAAACTAACATCTTTTGTGGAGATGAAAGCTGATGACAGTGATAGGCACATGTTTTCTCAGAGATCAATTTGTAAATATATCACTGCTCTGACATAATACATTCACATATTAGAGCTAACATAGGCAGAGGATTTTTTTGAATTGGATACTCTTTGAGGTGTTTGAGGTTCTAGATTTATTTACTTTTTACAGGGTTTTTGTTGAGGTAGTCATGCTTTCAATTATCATCGTTATGGATATAAAATGATATTTTTAGTGTTTGTCTATGAAGTTAAATGGCCGTATGAATTCATGCTACAGCTTACATACTTCTGATGTGTTTCATCTTTATGCTTTGATCTTCTTGGTGAAGTATATGCCAATGTCTTGCTAGAAAGACATTTACGTGTTACCAGTGAAAAGTTTCAACAGACTCCAAGGAAACAACAGAGGAAAAGTCCAAGAACATGCTTCCAAACAAATATGCAGTAGTCCTTCTTAATATGAAGGATTTCTAGATACGTTTGCTGTTTCTTTATTATTGCTAGTAGTCCCTATGTCTATTTTATTTCAATATATTTTTCCAAACACAAATGCTTATGTATAGCTTTTTGCCTTCAATACCAGCCTAAGTGGGAAAGCTGAAATTTGTGCAAGACAACATATAGAGCATAAGATGATTTTTTTTCGATTCAAGGACAGTATATGTTTATTTTATTAAGCATAGTACACATTTTATTAAACACATCAATATATTTATATGTTATATTCATCTAGATTTTCTGTATTTTATTATCATTTGGCATGAAAAAGGCAAATTTCTAGAATATTTTGTCTGGTTAAATGCTGGACCACTTAGACTCTAAGCTATTTTCATGTTCCTGGATCTTTTATCAACACAATTGTAGAACAGAGAAGTCTGTAGTTGTCATCAGATGAAACAGAACTTCATAACTTAAAATCATCAAAGGATTATTCTTTTAGTGGAAGTTTGAGTAAGTAAATGTGTTTGGAACCAAAGTAACTGGAAAGTTTATTTTGGATCGACAACTGGTACTTGCTTAGCCCTAGCCCTGGCTTACTCATGGTAGAATATTGCATGGAGATCTTGTGCATGGGGGTTGTGGTAAGCTATTAGTATTTAAGTGAAAAGACTTTCATACTTAACTATAAAAAGTTGTTTTCATTATTTAGTTGTTGTAGGATTTTATATGCAGCCTTGAAGTCTTTTCGGCAGTTACACTGTGTAGGAGGGTAATACTCACTTTTCACATGTTCTTCATACTAATAGTTGCTAAAATTGTGGAGCAGTATAAACACAATTATTTTTAATTGGTTGTTAATGCTGAATTCCAGTGAGAACAATGAAGGATCTGTATTAAAAGCAAATGAATTAATGAGTAATGTTGCCATGAATGCCAACTAAATGAGAGTGTAATTATTACATATAAAACGTAGCCAAATATTCCACATGCCTTTAAATATCCCTGAAATTATTTGAAAAAAATGTCCGTTTCCTGAAATTATTGAAAATAATATTTTCTTTAAAGCATATGACTTGTACAAAATTTTAGTCAAAGTGAAACATTGATTGAAAGAACAGAAATGTAAGGATGAGATGCACTGGAGTTCCTGTTCTTTGAATAGTGGTCTTCATTCATGGGTCAGGAAGAGATTCTGTGACTTGTTAATTAGCAGTTACAGTATCAGCAGTTCTTCAGCAGTTATAGGATGATTTCTTAAGTTGGCTACTTACCACAAAGTGTCAGAAAAATAAATTTTCCATAACTAAATAAAATCTCTTAAAAATCAAGTGTTCTTAGAAAAGAGTAGGAATATTGTGGAGTGCTAAGACACGTGTTTTAAGTGGTCAAGGCAAATGCAGCTGATCCTTATTATAGTTATTTGTATGTTCAGATAGCCTGCTCTCTTAGTTTTCTTACTCATGTGCTCTGCTTTACATTTGTATCATTTTTGCTTTTTGTCTAACTTCAAAACATGCATTTCTGACCTGCCTTTTTAAATTCTAACAGTGTGTGTCTGGCTCAGCTGCAGATGGTGTAATTGGGTAGAGCTAATTGGGATGTCAGAGGCTGAGGTATGGTCTTGTAATAATGACCGCCCCAGAACCCCTACGAGAGGTGTAACAGTGGTTCTTTGCAGTTTTGGGAGTTATTGTAAGATGATATTCTGCATCTGAAACTCCCAGAAAAACACATTAACCTTTCTGCTGAGAGCATATGATGGATGCTGACTAATGCAGAGAGAGGTCACTTCCCAGGAGACACCTTTATGTGAGTGTCACCTTGCGGGTCACCTTCAGTGCCTCTGTTTGGTTTATATAGTTATAAAAAGTGGGTTAGGGAAGGGAATCTCCTTATGGTATCACTGTCATGAAAGGCTGTAAAGACTCTCTTCATTGCACTTGTGCAGGATAACTGTGGTGTGTCAGCTTTCTTTTTTCCCCCCACTCCCTCCCATCCACCCTTCTCAGCTGGGAAGACCTAATTTTTCTGCAGTATATATTGCACTGTTCTCTCTATGGAGCAACATATTCTTTTCATCAAATATGAATTAAAAATACTCCATTTATTCTAGTAACTTAATCCTTTCCTTTTTATACAACAGAGTCTTCAAGTCATTGCACTTTTTTAGACTGATACATTAGGAAAAGCTTAGAGCGATATGCTTTGCATAACTTTTTAAAAGCAGAAGGGAAAATACCGCTTACTTCATTGGTTTATCATTCATGTATGTTATTTAGCGTGTACAGGCCTTGACATGATAGAAATGAAAATAGGAGGTGATTCTGTTTCAAGAATCTGTAATAATTCCTTCTCTTTAACACATGAATGTGTTCAGTATTGGCAAAGGAACACGTTGCTACCAAAACTGAAATAAGATCCTTGAAACAGAAAGGATGTTGCCATGGAAAAATGAAGTAACACTCAGTGCAGCTGCGAAGCATTAATGAATAGGATATTTTTTTAAAAGATCATTTGTGTTTGGTGTGGCTTGGAGGGTCCCAACCAGATGGTTTCCATGAACAGGATCTGACCCCCAGCTTGAGGACTTCTTACTGGCAGATTACTTCATTTTCTTTCCCTTGGATTGTCAGATCCTTACATTAATGCAAGATTTACTGCTGCAGATTTATATTCAGTTACATAAATCAGTCACATTTTACATTAAATTCACAATTTTAGACACACAATTTAACTGTTATTTAAAGAGTGTAAAAAGATTTATACGATAGCTTTAATATATGCTATTGATGTAGTTTAATTTGAAGAATTTGGATTACACATATTTTAAAGCACTTTCTGATTGGTGAAGCAGTCTGTAGTGCACATTCTCACTTTTGTCCAATATATAATTCCATCATTTTAGGTGCAGTGTTCCATTCCTTCACTGGAACTTGTTATTAGACAGACCTCCAGATTCTGTCAGATAAAAAAACACCAATTCCGATGAAGGTGATAGTCGTGTGTAAGCAGGATCTGCCTCCGAGAAGTTGAACAGGTGCAATTCAAGTTTGCACTTATTGGGCCGTTGTACATCCAAGTTGGCAATTTCTTACGTAATCATAATAATTGCATGATTTGCCCTAAAATGTGGATTTTGGACACATGTTCATTGTGCAGTAATTTTTTGCAAAATTCATGTATTCATTAAAAACTTTAAATGAAACATGAGTAAGCAAACCATATCCGTAAGCAAATCTGTAATATTACAGATGGAGGGCCGGATGCTGTGGTGTAAACCACAGCAGAATTCATGGTCAAACTCCCATTCAATTGTTTGAAAATGAATGGCAAAGTAGCTGCCTGTGTAAATAGGAATTTCTCAGGCATTTGAAGGAGTGAAACTCTCGTGATTCCACTTCAATATTCTTGATATGGCAAAGTAAAATAAAACAAAAACAATCTGAAGAAATTGTCTCGATACTCTACTGAGTATTGAGATCTCAAGAGGACTTTGTAAAACATCTACTGTAGATACTGCTGCTGGTAATGTGGTGAAGTGTAGTGCCTCTCTGAGTTGGTGGAATTTTTGGATTATTGTTACCACATGGTTTGTATATCCAGGCAGCATTTGATGTTAATCATCATGTGTATATATATATATCTATATGAAGAATGGGTGATTTGTTATAAACTGTTTACTCAGCAAATGCACTGATAAAAGTTATACTGATCGTAAGTTCTTTTGTAATCTATTTATCATTATCCCACAATGGCTTGACCTGCAACCTATTACTAATAGACCAGAAAACAATCTAATGTGTCACTGTAAAAATCTTTGTAAATTTGACACAATAACTAATTTACCAGTTAAAAAAAAAAATCCAAATCTATTACATCTGTAACAATACACCGTTGCTTTTCATCCTGTATATATAAAGTACACTCTGCAACCTTGGATCAATAAACTACTTATCAAAGATGTAATTAACTTCATTTTACAACTCAAACAGTTCTAAAACTAGAAACAAACACAGACTTCATGTAACAATGTATTTATTTTTGCAAAATTCTACTTCTATTTTTCTGCAGTGAATTCTTGTCAGTTTGTCTAAGCAAAAGGGCACAAAAATGCTGAAATGAAGATGAATATCTGCGTTCTCACTGGGCTGGCAAAGTACTTATGGTGCTGGGGAATTCCAGCTCTATTACAAATCACTGCTGCAGTCTTGAGGGACGATTAGCCTTCATGGGAGGGTATGGAATATAAACCTTGATTATCAGTTTTAAGCTGTGATGTCTTTAATGATGTCAAATTGAAAGACTCTATTTAAAATAACCTTACAGCAAACAAATGTCCTTGTATCACAGCTACAAATAACATCTTGTGTACAACATTTTGTTCACTAGACTTTTCCAAACAATGGGAAGAAATGGACTGAATCATAGCTTGAACACTCTGGTAAGCAAGTACAAGTGTGCAGGCTCTTAGGGCTCTTTGATATCCAGGTGCAGAATATTACTTCTAAGAGCCAAGGAAGACGAACAGTCTGCAGCTTACACCTCGTCTGAGTTAACAAGTTGTGATGAGTTCAGTCCTTGGTTTGGGCTCACTCAGCCTTGCTGGAAGCTCATAAGGAGGTGGCAGAATGGTCAGAAATGTTTCAGGGTAACAGTGTTGCCTAAAAATAAAGAAAAAAAATGCTGTTTCACATGAAACCATATGCACTGATTTGCAATGGAAACTGGCCAAAAGCTATGTAAACTTTGTGAATTTATTAATTTCTTTTTCTCTTTATGTATGTATGCATCTATACCCTTGTTTTAAAGTCAGTTTTTCACTAAAGTTGATATTTTTCCTTGTTTATCTGGTGACAGACCTTATGTGCATGCTCATTACTGTTGACTACAAAGTAAAGGCAGAATTTTCCCTGACATAGGTCTTTCTAGAAGCCTTTATAGAAAGTAACAGCATATAAAATGTTGGTTAGTTCTAGAGGGAGGCTTAGCTATTGCTAACAAAAGCTAATGAACTGCAAAAAGAGGAGGGCTTTCTCAGCTTTATTGTGAGAATATTTTCTGGCTAAATTATACTTCTTTTAAAAAAACTGTTGAAATGTAGATAGATGTAAGGTTGGTTTATATGGCAACGCCTTTCTGATCAAATTTACAGACCAAAATCACACTACTTCTTCCCTCCCTTCGCATAATCATAATTTACCGGATCATTTTTTTCCAACATTTTGTGTCATATTTCCTCTTAATTCAACTGAAAGCTATTTTCAATTGGTTGTGATAGGTAACTTGACATTTTGTACCAAGATGAACGCTCCACGACGGCGGAAAAAATGGTAATGTGTTTCTGAGAAATCCTTCTTGGCTTTGTTTTTTTCAGCTTGAAGTGCAATCTTGTTGTGTATTCCTTCCGAATGATAGCCTGCCTTCTCCAAGTACCATTGTATCGGGTGACATTCCTGGGACTGTGCGAAGCTGGTATCATGGGCAGGCCAGTATGCCTGGCACGCTTGTCGTCTGCTTGCCCCAGATCAAGATTATGAGTGCTGGGCACAAGCACATGGAGCCACTGCAGGAAATCCCATTTGTCGTGCTGAGGCCCATCCTGGAAGAAGGTAGTGTGATAAGCTCAAAAAAGTTTACTCTTCAGTTTCCATTTTGTCTTCACTTTATATTGTAAACTTCTGATGTTGTCCTTTTTTTTAGGAGTATGTGTTATTGATGGCTATAAATATAGTGATAAGGTTTGCCTCACAGAGATCAAAGTGAAACTCATCAGCAAAGAGATAGATCTGTGATATTTTTTGTATGTTTGTTGAAACCAAAAGAATTCAGAAGTGCGACTTTTACCTTCATTGATTTTTATCATTCGATTGACCGTGTAGCCACAGTCAGTTTGATACAGTAGGAGGGGGCAGTGAGATGTGAATTCCAAGGCAGAATGGAGGCAGGCTAGGAAAAACTTCTTCTTGCAACTCCCTCCTCCTCCTCCTTCCAGCTTTTATTGCTGAGTATGGTGTCATATGGTATGGGATATCCCGTTGGTCAGTCGGGGTCAGCTGTCCCAAGTGCACCCCCTCCTAACTTCTGGTGCACCCTGAACCTGCTTCTGGTGGGGCAGTGGGAGAAGCAGAAAACACTCGAACACTGTGCAAGCACTGTTCAGCAGTAATTAACACATCCCTGTGCTATCACCGGTTTTCATCACAAATCTAAAACGTATCACCATACAGGCTACTATGAAGAAAATGAAATCTATCCCAGCCAAAACCAGTACGTTGGTGTCCAGTTAGCTCATGATTGTATTCTTGAACTATATTTTTTTGGAAAGAATTTGTAGCAATTGTTCCATTGCTTTTGTGACAGCATTTTCTGGGAAAATTATTCTGTTTTCTGCATACTTATTGCTGAGACATAAGTAATTGTAAAGGGTATGCTATGAAAAATTAAGTCAAAAGCACATTCAAAACCTACTCCTTATCCTGCCATCTTAAATTGGTTTGGATTTGTAACAGTGTTTTCCTTCTCCCTTTGTCTGACACTTATATTGGACCCTTCTCTTCCTTCCTGTATTTTATCGTAACTCACAGTAACAAAAATAAAATTGTAGTTTTGAATACTGAAAGTCATATTGGAGATGCTGCCAACTGAAAAGGGGGGAGTGGAGGGAAGAAACAAAGAAAGAAAGAAAGAAAAAAAGTGAGAAAGGTATCTTTTTCCTAATATCTTTCAATAGGAATGATCTAATTTGCCAATCATGACAGATAAAAGATAAATAAATTTAACCAAAGTCTTTTGTTTGTTTTAAACTGTGTATGTAATTTAAACCATTTATGAAAGTAAGAAGTCATTTGAATTTTGTCAAACCCAGATTTGAAGGAAAGATCCTAGTGAGAGAAAAGAATACCCGTGGTTGGGATAAAGGAATTTATTTGTGTGTAGCTTTGTGCTCTGGGAGTAATGCCAAACAGAAGTTCTCACAATCTTGATATTTTTGATTCTCTAATGGGACTGTTGCCTTCTGCCATGCCAAAACTCCCCCTTATACAGGCTATTAAAAAGTTTTTTCAAAGCTTTTAAGTCACCTTTGTTTTTTCCCATGTAGAGGTAAATAATTTTTATGGACTTTTATTGGCAGAGTCTCTTAATTTGCATTCTAGCTTTGAACAGCACTTCAGGGACATACCGTCATTCGTAAGACCACGTTACCATTTCTCTGAAATTATATTTATTTAACCTTGCTTTTCCCAGAAATTTTTGAATCGTTAGTTCTTTTATAAAGAAGATATAAGTGAAAGGCTAGTTTAAAAGGATGTGTTTTTACTTTTAAGAAATCTGTGTTCTCAAATATATTTTTCTTATTACATGAAAAATTAAAAGAGGAGGAAAAGGGAGCATAGTCATACTGTCATTTGGGGATATCGCAGCCTACTCACAGATACTTCTTGACCTCAAGATGTCAACGTACTGTAAAAAATAGCTTATACAGTATCCCACAATCAAGTATTTCAATTTGCTTTCAGAGTTTTGATACATTTATTTTCTGAGTTCATCGTAGTTTGTAGGGATACTTAAAAGAACATTTTGATTACAGTGCTTTGATTCACAAACATAACTTAGCTCAGTCATACCAAGTAATGTATGAACAGAAGTGGTTTTATCTATGTAAAGGTATTCTGTTGATCTTCTGTTGAATATCAAGTACAACTAAGTTCATAGATACTAAATTACAGTAAGTATTTTAAGTCAATCGAGTGATAGATCCACGAGGTAGTATTCACTGAGGATATTAAAACAGAATCACAGAATCATGGAGCAGCCCAGGTTGGAAGGGACCTTGGATGATCATCTGTTCCAAACTTTTGTGGCAAAGGAAGCCTAGATGAAGCTGTCTGGCACCCTGTCCAGTTGCTTCTTGAAAACCTCCACATCCCTGGGGAGGTTGTTCCACTGAATGATTTTTCTTACTGTAAAGAATTTATTTCTTATATCAAGATGAAATCTCTCCTGGTGCGACTTGCACCTGGTACCCTTGTCTTCTCCATTTTGGCTCCTTGTGAAGAGGAGGACCTCTGGCCTATCTGTAGCTGCCCTTTAAGTAAAATAGTTACTAAGAATAAATTACATAGTTAGAAACTCAATTTGAGCAGAACTAATAATATGTTTAGAGAACTGCTTAGGGCAAGTTGTGACTTTCTGTGTATGTTCATGTCCATCCAACTTCAAATACTTGACAATTCTTCTCTAACTCCCAACCTATAGTGATAAGATAAAATGTGGTAAAGTTACAGTTGGACAAAATATGTTCTTATGATCAGGACTTCTGGACAGCTAAGTGGTCTTCCAGAAATTTTAAATGTTACAGTAGGAAAGTAAATTGAAGACATGAAGGGAACTAAAATTTTGCTTCAGGTAAAGCAGTAAGTTTAGAGTAATAATGAGAACTGGTTTGGCATCTATGAAATCTCCCTGGTTTTAGAAGTTTACATTTTTTTATTATTTTAATTTAGAATCTTTTCCTGGCTTCCACTCATATTTTTAAACAGTTGCTGTTTTTTCAGTCTGTTCTCTCCGCTGCAATTCTTTCGCTCTTTCTTCCTCTTCCTCCCCCTTTTCCCCCCACCCCCCCATCTTTAGCTGGTACTTGCAACATGTTCCTCTTTGGGTCCATACTGGTAACTTTTATGAACGTAAAAATTTTTGGTTAGGTCAGGTACAGTAAGATACAGATATTCAGGTAAGACACAATAAAATACACTTTAGAAAACTGTTCAAAATATCTTAAAATTGTTGATACTGCTAGATATCATATTCACGTTCTCACATGGATAGCAGTACGCTGACAGTCAGGTAAATCGCTGTATTGCAAACATTTAAATCTGAGAGAAAGCTTTTGTTTGTGAAGTATGATGAATTATATAACCTCACAGATTTTTGTAGCATATGTATAGGCTCAATAAGTTG